ATTGTGTTCTAATCTTAATGGTTGATTATTGAATAATTTATGCAATGTTTGGTTAAGTTTTGTCCAAGTTAGAATAATTCATGCCACAAATGGATAGTCTGTGTCACTTGACACTGCAACAGATTTATATTTAATAAAAAACAATTCGAATTATTGAAACTGCGACACATATTAGTTTTTTGTTGAAATTTTAAGCCCTAAATTGTTACTATTTATTTTTTAAAGAGTCCAAACAGTTCCAATTTTAAGTTGCATCACCCAAGCATTTTTTTGTGTTCAATTTTGTTCTTTTCGATTGAACTTATAATTTTATTAAATTAGATATGGATACAAAAAAATATTATTAAATTTATTAATAATAGGATGTTTGAAAGTAAACTAAAGTAGAAAGTTCCTTCGCATCGACGGAATATAAAATGAGTTGTGCACTGGCGTTTTTTAGTCTTAAATTATTAAGATTGAAAAGATTTGCACTAGAGATACGTCTCTCCTACAATTATTTTCTATGTAAAAATGGGATAGAAATTAAAATAAAAAGAACTATACCATCTCTCTTTAGACCTGGCAAAAATTGATCTAACTTGTTTTTTATCCAAAACTTGACCTGAAAATACTGGATTTTGAACAAATGTTTTAATGACCGAACCTGAAATAACCCACTAAAAATAGGTCAAATCCAACTGAACTCGACATTACCGACCCGCTAATGTAAGATTTTTTCAAAATTATATACTTTTCTACTCGTTTTTAGTATATAAATTTATATTTTTGGACAAAATTTTAATGATATTGCATAAATATCTTACTTTTTACTAAAATTTTTGCATTTTTTTATTTTTCATATTGATTTATATCTATAAAATTACTTTAGAATTTAAAATAAAATAATCTAATAAATTTAATGCATGTTTTTTAATATTTTAAATTTATTCAATACAAAATGCAAGTGTTAATGTGAATTTAAATTTTTTAAAACCAAAGTCATAACCCGCTAGGCCAACCCGAACCCGACATACTGGATCATGAACATACAGTTCTCAACTCGGACCCCGACTCGACGTAACCCGAACCCAAACCCGACCTGACCAACTGATTTGCCAGCTCCATCCCTGTTTCTAAAAAAAGTTTGCACAATTTGAATATCACAATCTTTAGGAAAACACTTTGATCAGGAAAGGATAAAATGATAAAAAGTCACTCAATTAAATGATCAACCAAATAAATATGAAAGAAACTGTATGTTATACGTTTGGATATATAATATTATTGTATATTCACCATATACAAATACTTTTTTAAGTCGTTGGAAGAAACTGGAAGGAACTGTAAGAAATAGGAAGAAATTGGAAGAAACTAGAAGGAGACGAAAGTTAATTTTTCCAACCCAAAAGAATATGACCTAAATGTGTGGGTTGTTTGTGAAAGGTAAAAGACACATACTCAAAAACAAAATTACTTACGCATCAAAGTTTATTTTGAGACAAACAAAAGAGAAGAGTGAAAGGTAATTAATATTGAGAGAGGAATTGGGAGGGTACCTTTCAAGAAGAAGAGCAAAGGGGGCAATGACAGCAGTGGCAAAGGCATGCCTATACACAACCAACACATAATGGCTCATGCCCTTATTCAGTGAGACTTTGGTTATTATAGCCATTCCAGCATACCCAAATTGCAGACATATCATGGCTATGTATGGCCTCACGCCCTCCAAGAAGGCCCTCATACCCGATTTTCCCGCCATCTTTTTCCCTGCTTAGGAAAGAATATTTGCAAACAACTTCAAAGGAGTCTACTCTATAGTCTAGCTAGAGAAAGAGAGTGAGAAGAGGACTAATTTCCAAGAGAATGCATGGAGAGAGAGAGAGTTGCAAACATATTTATAGGCAGGAAAATGCCTCGTGGACCCCACTTGGGGTACACCAAGACAAAAATAGGCACTCACTGCAGATATTTAATATAATGTTCGTACACAACTGGACACGCAGATATTGATTATCTGTGTGTGTCTATTTTACCTTGTTGTACATTTAGTGTATCCGAAATGGGGTTCTCCTTGCACTCCACAACCATGCATGTTATATGTACACCACGTGATGTACACCAAGTTGTACATCAAGGACGAGTGCACGTACCTACGTACAGTATACGTATGTTTTTTAGCCAATCATGCAAAATTCCAAGCTTGAGCGAGAATATCTCCATATACACTCATTTTGTACGTCATAGATATTCTCAAATATCTTTTTTCTTTGTTCGGAAAAGATATTTCCATTTTTTGCTTGCTAACATTTGAAATACCACAACTACTTCCTTTCACTTTATTTATTACATCTCACTTACTTCATTTAATATACTCCGTCGTCCACTTTCATTAAGAATATTTTAGTAAATTTTAATCTTTTTTAACTCTTCTTAAAAGCATAAAAAGAATTAAAGTTGAGAATTTAAGTGGAAAACCTTCAAAAAGAATTAAAGTTGAGAAATTAAAGGACACAAAAGGAATGAATTGAAAGCGCACTCCTAACAAACAACTTCGCGGTGCGTATGTCACAAGAAAATAAGTGTTTTTTTATTGAAAATTATTATTAGGTGTATCACGATGCTAGCACTTAGTTTTTCTAGTGATATTTACACGATTTAAATATAATATTTGTTGACAGTTTCTCAATTGTAATAATGCATAATGAATTAATGCTCCTGCATCCAATCGAACACAAACTTGAGTGAGCTTTCCTATTTCCTATGAACTTTGGGAAACGAATTGATTTTTCTATCGCTCACGCTAAGACTGGAGTTAAATGGGTTTAAAGCCCGAGGCTTCAAACAGAGGCTTTAAATCTTCATTTTTTACATTTTTAAATATACATCTTCTAAATTTAAATTAATAAATTTTAATTAATTTATTATTTAAATTAATCGAAATGAGATTAGTGCATTAAAAAAATTACATTCATTAAAAAAATATTACATTCATAAAAAAATTACATTCATTAAAAAAAATATTATATCCATAAAAAACAACACTACAAAGAAATTACTAATTATTCGAGCGACAGAAGATATGTTCGATCAAATCCGCCGTTAGTGCATTGTGAATCCCTCGGCTTCGAATTTCTTGGCGGTTTCTTCATTTCTTTTCTTCGTCGATTTCTTCGTACATAGGCACCTCCTCGTCCAGGTTGTATTGACAAATCACAGTCCCGTTGTCCTCTATGATAATATTATGAAGAATAATACATGCGTACATGATATTCCTCATTTTCGTTTGAGAAAAACATTTCGACGGTTGATCTAGAATGTGCCATTTAGCCTTCAAGACCCCGAAGGCTCGTTCAATATCTTCTCTTGCCACCTCTTGAGCTTTTTTGTAGGTCTGGCGTTTAAGACCCATTGGTTCAGAGAGGGACTTGACAATCGTGGAATAATCTAGATATATCCCATCAACCAAACAATATCCATGCTTGTAAAGCGTCCCTCTAAGCTCAAAAGACGAGTCGGGTGCGGTCTCATTAATCCAATCATCAAAAACAGGCGATTGATCAAGAACGTTGATGTCGTTGTTTGAGCCCGCGACACCGAAAAAAGCGTGACAAAACCACAAGTCATTTGAAGCAACGGCTTCGAGCATGATAGTAGGCTTGGGATGATCTCCCCCGGGAGAATTGACCATGCCACGCAGTGGGACAATTTTTCCATTCCCAATGCGTGCAATCAATACTCCCAAGCATGCCAGCAAAGTCGTGTTTAGCGGCATGCCTTGCGTGTAACTGCTGAATGTCGCTCGCTGTAGGCTTGCGTAAATATGTTTTATGATAAATTTGAATAATAGCTTTAGAAAATTTATAAACACATGACCTGATGCTCAGAGCCGACATCTTCAAGTATTCGTCGAACATATCAGATGCCGTCCCGTACGCCATCTGACGGAGTGCGGTAGTGCACTTCTGGACACTACTAAACCCGCGTCGGCCTCTCGCATCACAACGTTGGATGAACTAAGGTACCTCGCGTTCAACATCGGCGAGTATGCATAAAAAGAGAGGACGACTCATCCGAAAACGATTACTAAAATCCTCCGGTGTATAAACACACGGAGTATTAAAGTAGTTATTTAGAAGTTAAGCGTGGGCGTCCGCTTGATCTCGGTTTAAACGTTGTCGTCGGGTCCGGGTCCGTCGTCGGGAGGATTCGGCTTCTTCTTTTTCGTTTTGTTCCCACCATTGAACACAATTCGTGGCGAAACGACGAAAAATGAGAGCTCTTATTTCATCGTCGGATGAAGATGATTCATTTTTAAAATATATTATTTAAATATTTATAATAAATAATCAAATATTTGAAAGATTGATAGACTTGTAGAGAGAAGATAGTGAGAAATGTGTGAGAGATAGGTTTGTTTTGAGGGGAATTTATAAGTTTTTTTTAAGTAATTTTTTTTTATTGGGGGGGGGGGGGTAATTGCTATATATAGCCGTTTTTGGCTCCTGGCAGAGGGAAGAAACGCGTCAAAAATTTGACGTGGTACACTTAACGCCACGATGAAGCCCTTGGGGGCAGTGTTTAACGCCCCCGGCGTTAAACTCGGCCATCACGCCCACCGGCGTTATGACCATTACCACTGCCCTAAGAGAGAAGCCCAACACTTAGTTATATTCATGCTCATTAATTAATTAACATCATAAATCTTTGGTTAATAGTGAACATGCTATACGAATTTCTCTCCTGGCTTGAGTGGTAGGAAGTCACTTCCTAGGTTCATAGGAAAGTTCGCCCAGGTTCGAGTCTAGCGGAGACGGAGGCATTGACACATTGTACGTCATTAGGTTGAGAAAAATATGAACATATATTACATTGTGATAGGATTTAGGATGGAGCAAGAGTCCTTAGTGTTAGCGGATATTTGTATTTAATTATATTTTTGTATTGGGCCTCGTGTAACCCTAGCCCGTCTCGTGTAAACTTGTATATATACGGTCTTGGTTGTTTAATGAAAACAGATCAGTTTTACTCTAAATTTTTACATGGTATCAGAGCCAAACTCTGGGCAAGATACGTTTTTTTTCCGGTGCTGATCTCGATCGACTCACGCCGTCGATCATGTGTTTGTGTGTGATCGTGTGTGGCCAGCGAATTTCCCGTCGGCAATCGCTGAGTACGGGGCAAAGCTAGGAGTTTTTTTTTTTCGGCAGAGGCGGTTTGGTCCTTCAATTATTGTTGCAGAGTTTCTTATTGTTGCTTATTGTTGCAGTGTTTCTTCAATTATTGGAAGAAAACTACGGCACTGCTATTGGTTTGTTTCTTCAATTCTTCGGCGTTTCTCCAGCGATTGTTCTGTTTCTCGTTGAAAATTGGCAATGACTTCCACCACGAAGAAAACTCGTTTGATTCATGATCCCTCGTCTGAGTATTATCTTCATCCTTCCGAAGGCCCAGGTAATGCTCTCACGAAGCATGTTTTGAAAGGCGATAATTTTGATACATGGGAGAAAAGTATTGTAAATGCGTTGAAGGGTTGTAGCAAGGCAGGGTTTTTGTCACCCGTTGGTGTGCCTAAACCTACAGATCCGATGGAAATTGAGGCTTGGGAAGCCAATAATTCTACAATTTGTAGTTGGATTTTTAACAGTGTTGAAGAAACAATTCAACCCAGTATTGCTTCCCATACTGTGGTTCATGAATTGTGGACAGATTTGAAGGCGCGCTATAGCACGGTGAATGAGCCTCACATTTACCAACTCGAGAACGAGTTGCAAAATCTTCGTCAGAAAGGCCAAACTGTGGTCGTTTACTATAATCAGTTTGTTACTATTTGGAATAAATTATACGGCATGGAGGATCCAACTTGCGGGTGCAAGTGTGAAGCAGCGGCGTTGTTGAAGGATCGGGCGGAAAAATCAAAAACTCGGAAGTTTTTGTTGGGTTTGGATGATGAGCAATTTGGTAGCATTCGTGGTCAAATTCTCGGAACTCAACCATTGGTGGATCTTAATAAGGCATTCTATTTGATTACTCAAGAGGAACGACATAAAAGTGTGGTTCGTGCTCGTGATGATCACACGGATGCTTTGGCATTTGCGGCCCCACGGACGACACCAAACCCGTATCAATGCACTCATTGCAGAAAATCGGGACATACGGTTGACAGGTGTTATATGATCAATGGCTTTCCGAATACCGGAAGAGGGCGTGGTCGTCATTCTTTTGGTCGAGGGGGAGGTCGCGGCGGTAACCTTGGTGGCCGGACAGCTTCCCAGACAGCGCCCACTGCCGTGGGTACTGCCGCCAGCCAGCATGGCAGCCACACAGGACCTTCGGCCCATGCAGCAGCTGAAGCACCGCCATCCCTCTCCACTTTATCACCTGATCAAGTTGCCCGGTTATTTTCTATGCTAGAATCACCGCCTTCTACTTCCGACCGTTTGCAAGGTACGTCCAATGTTTCCTCATGTGAATGGTTAATAGACAGTGGGGCATCACATCATATGACAGGGGTTTTCTCAAATTTGACGGATATAAAATCCGTGCCTCCTTGTACGATTAGCCTACCGGACGGAGCTCGAGTTGTGGCTAACTCGTGTGGCCGCGTGCAAGTATCCCCAGCTTTGATTCTCCATGATGTACTTTATGTGCCTGATTTAAAATGCAATCTTATCTCTGTGAGTTGTCTTGTCAACTCTTATAATTGTCATGTTTTCTTTGATGACCAATGTTGTGTGATACAGGACCGAACTTCGAAGACGCAGATTGGACGATGTGAAGTGCGCAATGGAGTTTATGTCTTTCCTTCTTTCGCCCGGGCATCCAAAGCCGAATCAGTCTCTCTTTTGCATCAGCGTCTTGGTCACCCGTCACCTCAAGTTTTGTCCTTGCCTCCTTTTAATAAAAGTGCAGCTGAAATTAAAAATTTTCAGTCATGCGACATTTGTTTCTTTTCAAAGCAAACTCGTTCTAGTTTTTCGTCGAGTCTTAATAAAGCTGATGCCTTGTTTGATTTAATTCACTGTGATTTGTGGGGGCCATATTCTCCATGTTTGTCTACTGGTTCTCATTATTTTCTTACCATTGTTGATGATTATTCTAGAGCTGTTTGGGTTTTTCTTATTGTGGACAAAACTGAAGTTACTAGTTGTCTCAAACAGTTCTTCCAAATGATTCAAACCCAATTTGGAAAAGT